GCTGTCTCCCTTACCAATTCATTCGATGTATTCATTACTCTGTTGAAGTATTTAATTAATTGTTTTTTGATGAATACGTCGAGATTGAACCAAAACGACAAAAGTTTAGGTGAATTTATTCCACACTTGATTTGTATGTGCTTTCGTGACCCCAGATGTCACTTCCGTAAACTAGTATGGGCCTAATTAGTTTATCGAAAAAGGATAGCATTGTAAGTGGATTTAAATTTGTCCTATGTTCAAGTTTTGCTTTTAGACTAAATAAAGCTTTTTGGCCTTTTAGTTTTAATGTTTTCATTGCTAATTGTATGCCTGTCAAATATTAAGGGTAAACACATTGTTAGCTATAGATATCCTCGATATCTACGTGAATTTGAACCAAAATGTTATCGGCAAGACTCAGAATACGACTGTGACAGCCACTGAAACGCAATTGAAAGCAAATGAACACGTCAAGCAAAAAAAAAAAAAAAATTGTTCGAGTCCTGGCATAAAATGGAGGCACATACCATTTTGATTCTTGAAGGGAATGGAAATCAGTTGATTTGAGGGTGTCACAATAAACAAGAGAGTAAATCGTTTTTATGCTACGAAAAAATGCAGACCTTGAACGTACTTTTGGACTTTAGTACAACTTCATTTTTGTTTGATTACCTAACGTTTTTAGGTTCATTTTCTGCAAGTTACAGAGCACATACCTAAGCGGCCCTCCCTCAGCAAATAATGAAGTAAAGGCATTTTCGATGTCGAAATCGCGAAACTCATCCTTTTTACACAAACTGGGAAGTTCGAATTAATAAACAAAGTACAGGACGACGAAGATAAAATATCCAAAAATCAACACATACCAAAAATTATTCTCAAATATTCGTGGTGTATTTTTAGTCTAACCGGATCATAGTACTCTAATTATCCAAATATATTTTAGTATAAGATACTGTAGAATACTTTATTTTCGCTTGGAATTTATTTTCGCTAATTTCGCTGAAGGGATGATTCCGTGAAAATGAAATCCAGCGAATATCCATGTACTTTTTTCCTATATTTCACATTGAACTCATCAAAAATCAGTGAAAATAAATTCCATACAAAACGCCCAATAAGCCTTTTCAGCGAAAATTAATTTCAGCAAAAATAAAGTATTCCACAGTAGTAATTATTTTTGTTTTCTCTGTATTAATAGTCAGCTTTCAATGTTTTGTGTAAGTGGAGAGATTATCTATTAGCTCTTTTGTAATCCATGTTTTGTTTCTGAAAGGATGACAATGTCGTCCGCAAAGAGGAGGCACCCAACTTTACTGTTTCCCAGTGTGGGTGGATTACATGTTGCAGTATCAAAAATTCCTGGTAGGTCATTAATAAACAAATTGAAAAGAGTTGGACTTAAGTTACACCCTTGTTTAACCCCAGTATGTGATGAGAATTCAGTTGTTAATCCATCATTAACCTTGACTTTATAGTTTACTTTACTGTACATATCTTTTATAATGTTATAAATATTGCCTGTTATGCCAGATTTTAATAATTTTAAAAACATTCCTTCATGCCACACACTATCAAATGCCTTCTTAAGGTCTACCAAACAAGCATATAGTCTTTTGGGGTTTTGTTTGTTCTTATTTCCTGTAAGATCTTTTAGATTTTTGTTATGATGTAGGTACTTATTAATTATTGTTTTTAAAATGAAGAGGTTGTCTGATGTGCGAGAATCTCTCCTAAACCCAAATTGCTTTTTAGAAATAATATTATTTTTTCTAGGTATGATGTTATTCTTTGGCTAATTATACTCTTATTGTTTAGAGTAGTATTGTCTTCCGATGATGGATTTAGCAATTTATTAAAGTAATTTAACCACTCATTTGGTGTTGTTGAATTATGTATTTCATTACTGTTTCTATCATTATCTAAATCTCGTAATAATTTCCAGAATTTAGAGAAATCTCCCTTTAAACTCTCAAGTTCATTTAGTTGCGAAACTTTAAATTCATTTCACTTTTTTTCAATGTTTTTTTATATTCCTTTTTAATACAGCAAAATCTGCCTCTAATATATGGGTCTCTTGGATATTTCTTCAGAAGAGATGAAATAATTCTGAAATCCTTTTCAAGTATCAATTTCACCATCCTTTGCCATTTGTAAAGTTGACAAGAATTTGTCTTTTTCCCTGATCATCTCCAAAAAAACACATTGGTAATAAGTTGATTCGGCACGGAAATGGTGTAGATTAACATTATCATCGGTTGAAAGGAGTTCATGAAATCCATGAATTTAACAAATTTGGAGAACATGTTTCCTGCCAGAGGAGTAATTTATTCGGTTTTACCGGTTGTAGAATGTGAACTTCGTTGTCTCTGTGCTGGTAAAAACAGTTCATCTTTATCATCATAGCTCTGCTTGTCTGGGTCACAGCGTTGTGTCTTCCCATCTTTCCGATGTATTTTGTTGTTTGCTGTGTGGTGGCGCTGCTGTGATCCACGTTCACTGTTTAATTTACGATATGGAATCGGGAATCTCTTCGTATTTCTTGAATTGGTGTTGTTATAAACTTGAACTTTTCAATCTGAAATTCCGTTCCCGTTTTTTCGTGGGTAATCTATCGTGTCTAATCTTCGTATCTCCTCTTTGATGGCACAAACCAATTTAGCAGTACCTCTGGGGTTGATATGAATTCCATCACGAGCATAGAATTCTTGTGTTGTCGATAGGTGGTTGTGTTTTATAACATATCCGTCGCGACGAGTTGCTTCTTTCGATAGTAGCTCATTAAATTCTCTATCCTGTTATTTATCATTTTGTTGTTGTCATGTCGTTTGATTACTTCAGACACCATTACCAGTGTGTTTGGCAACTGCTTTCGTGTTATGTTGACAAGTTCAATAGCTCTGTCCAGGCATTCTGTTGGGATCACATCATTCAAATAGTTAGTTCCGAGGTGGTATACTGTAGAGGGGTTAATTATTCACTGGGTTTTAATTTGGCTTATTTTGCTGACAGAAAAATGCGCTAAATTAATACCCAGTGAATATGTAAAATTTAGCATAGAACACATTGTCTAAATGATAAAACCGTGAATTTAAAACCCACTGAATATGTCTGAAATGGTAAATCAGTGAAATTTAAACCCAAGGAAAATTAGTCATTTTACAGTATCACAGTATCTACAGTAGTAGGAGTGATTTCCGAAATGGTTTTGCAGGCTTGTTTGAATGTCGGTATTCTAATGTGGTTTGCCGAATTTCTAGGAAACATGCGCGACACGTCCACGTGTTTTGTCGCCTACCAAGAGCTTTTCGACTTTCGAAATGTTGTTTTTAATTGGCATACTAGTATTTGTGTTATCTCTACTTCGGTTTTCTACACCTTTTCGCGCATTTGGTTGCTTAGGTATGGCTCCATGTGGTACTTAAAGTCCCTGACTGGAGATATTTAGTTGCGCGAGAGTTGGGGTGGATACTGGTATATCAGAATACAGCGTTGCATTTTCGCTGGTTCTCATTACTTTTTCCAACTGCCCTTCCCCGTCTTCTAAGTCACAGTCGGCAGTATTGTTTACGTTTGTGCCCGAGCCGCGGTTAATTTCTAGTTCGATGTCACGTCCCAAAGCCGTGTTCTCGTGGATATCTTCTTTGTGTAATCCTTTTAGTTGTTGTTTCATTTATTTGTAGTTCATTTATTTCACGACTATGTTCTTTGTGTAGATTGTCTATTGTTTCCTTAAAAGTTGTTTCTAGTTCTGTGAATTTGGCATTGTATTCTTTTCGGATATTTTGTTCAGCTTTATTTAGCTCCGCTGTCGACTTTGTCGAGCGGAGCTTATCATATGAGTGATTGTCCGTCGTCGTTCGTCATCCGTCGTCCGTGTCAATGTTTTACTTTTTCGACTTCTTCTTGAAAACTACAAGAGTGAATGCTTTGATACTCGGTGTATATGTACTTTGGGTAGACCTCTCTTAGATTTGTTCTTTTCATGATCATATCTTCAATTCTCTAATTTTGGTGAATATTTTCGTCATTTTTGGTAAAAAGTGATATTTTCAACTTCTTGTTAAAAACCACAATCATTTATTGAGAAAAATGATATCTTTGAATTCTTGTTGAAAACAGCAAGTCCCATTGCATTGATACTATGCATATTGTTCATTTTCTAATGATATCTTCTGTTCTTTATTTGAAATGTGCATTGCTAACAGCGGAGCTATCTCAGCCGAGAGGCTGCTTGTCTATGCTAGCGGTGATTAGGTTCTCCAGTTTTGAGCTGGTGGTGTTTATATTTTCAGTAACAGAATTTTCCAATTTCGTAATGCTGCCACTCATTTATTAGTTGTCTGAGACAGAACACAATGTTAAAGAAAAAAAATGGTCTATCTATTGCATAATATCTTTGGTAAAAACGTTATAATACTACCAAAATGGTAACTATCCACTAAAATACAATCATCAATTTCATGAAAATTAGTGTGGTGACCCTCAACTTTTTTTTTTTAAAGTCAATATCCTTATATTGCCATGGATGTCACAGGAGCGGGGTTAGCCATGATGGGGGAAATAATCAAAGACATAGTCGGACAAAATAAACAACATCCAATTATAAAATTATAACATCCAACTGTAGGTGGCGCTAGACTGCACCTATACAATTTAGATCACAGCTACATTCTAACAATGGAGTCATATAATTTATTGGAAAATGAATAAATTCTATTTTCATTCATGAGTAGGTTTCTACCTCAAGACATGATGATTGAAAAATAATGAAAAGAATATATCCTTTATTATTATTTTGTGTTCGATTTTAATAACACTGTACGGGCGTAGACATGGCTATATGTTTGAAAACCACTCATAACACGCGTTTTTGTGCTTTGTTTAGTTTTGTTTCGTTTTGCTTTGTGTTGTAGCATGCGTACTGTCCCGGATGTTTGTTTACGGCTAGTTTAAAATTAATATTCTCACGCATGTGTACAAGCGCCCGACATTCTGGGTCAGGTCACGACCAAACCTGCTATGGTAAAACACACAAAATGGCGAATACAACATGGACTGCGAACGTTGGAACATTGTGCTTGACCATTTTGATTTTAATCGTTCTACAACTCGTCTTCACGCTGTGGAAACTATTTAGACAGAGACAGTCGCACCGAATTGCGTTGGCGGCTTTCCCATGTCCTCCGGCACGCCACTGGTTTTATGGACACCATTGGGTGAGTGAGTAGCCTGACAAATTGGCGTGAGTGGCGCCCTGGACCGTGGGGTTCGCAGCACAGGGGGCAGCAGACATTATATAACATCTCTGTACATGCATTGGTTTATTTGCTTTGTCAATGTTTATT